AGGTGAGAGCAGAAAACAGCACTGTGACCTGCTGAGCTTCCTCATAGTCCATCTCCCTGCCACCAGGTCCAGCAACATGCATGATGTGTGATGGAGGAGTATAAACATGGCTTCAGCTCAGGCTTCCCAGCCCTATATTTAGGGCACTGAGGCCACATCTGAGGACCCAAATGAAAGCAGCTGCTGCTCTCAGTGGTGCGTGGCTCAGGAAGATGTGCTGAGCTCTGCAGAAGGTCCTCCAGCATCTGTCATATTTGCAAGGAGTTCACTGCCCACCTGCCACTTACCAGATGAAGAGGAAAAGGATAAATATAGGAGCAGATCCTACAGTTTGCAGCAACCTCCAGTTTGGGATACCGTAACTCAAGCCAGCCAAAATCATTTGTCCAATAGCAAAACAGCAGTGAGAAAGAAGAACTGCCTGTGGTCGATAGGAGACACCAACCCATTCTGTAACTGGAAAGAACAAAGATTCAAAGCCATAGTGTAGACATTAGATATACACAAGTCAGCAGAGTTTCATGAGCTACATCGCCTCCCCTTATACCCATGCTGTCCTCTCAGCCTTGAGAAAAAACAGGGCAAAAAAGGCCAGTCTGAGCTATTGCACGGGGACGTGTTAGAACATAAGGCATTCGTTTGGGAGGGAGTTTTTCAAGATGTGCAGGATGAGGTTTTTTTTCCTTGCAGACCTTTTCCACTGCATCGTGGGAGGCCACATCTATCTGCTCTAGGGAAGGGCATCCTACTCACCTAGGGCCAGCAAGGTCATCATGATCCCTGACACTGAAGCCCCCACGACACATCTGAAGGCCAAGTATACATAGAAATGAGGTACAAGGGCAATTGCTACACCAAACAAACCCTCGAGGAGGATGGAGATCAAGAGGGCTGGCCGACGGCCAAACCTGTGGAGGAAGAAGATGACAGCTGATATTTCCTCTGGAGTAAAGAAGGCTCTGGGGAGACCTGAGAGCAGCCCTTCAATAGCTAAAGGAGGGCTGTAAGAAAGGATGGGACAGACTCTTTAGCAGGATGTGCTGTGATAGCATAAGGGGAAACAGTAATAACAAAAAAGTGTTTTTCAGCGAGGGTGGGGAAGCACTGGCACAGATTGGCCAGAGAGGCTGAGGATGCTCCGTCCCTGCAGACATTCAGGGTCAGGCTGGATGGGGCTCAGAGCACCTCTTCTAGTTGTAGGCGTCCCTGTTCATTGCAGGGAAGTTAAACTAGATAGCTTTTAAAGGTCCCTCCAACTAAGATTATTCTAAGAATCCAGAGAGGCACCACAGAGAGCCCAAAGGGATACCCAGCAATTTGGGAACCATTCACACATGTCCTCTCTTGAGGGCAGTGAAGTTCAGTGTTGTCCCAGTTCCCACACATCGTGCCCTTCTTTGGACCATCCTGTTGGCCATGACTTTACAAGATCTGAGGACTTTGGTCAGGGTCACTATAATTTTGTGGTAGCTGGTGACAAAATACACAGGGTATTGTGGCTAGCCAGAACTGGAGCATTGTGCTGCCCTACACATTGCTGTTTTGGCATAGAGATTGGGCAATTGCTTGTGTCTCCTCACCTGTCACTGAACAGTCCAAAGATCATGGCTCCCAGGAACATTCCCAGCATATAGACGGACTGTGAGATGTCATTCAGGTTCTTCCTGTCACACACAAGATCAAACTGCGGGAAGGGAACAGAGCTGCTTTTGCAACTGAGCAGCACTTCTGATCCCAGACGGCATGGGCTGGCTGCACAAGCTCTCACTGTAGCCCCTGGGAGCAGAGACCCCAGTCCTAAGGATATAGTCTCTATTATCTCTGTTGCACCGCTGCCCAGAGAGCTGTGGATGCCCCATCGCTGGAGGTGCTCAAGGCCAGGCTGGATGGGGCCGTGGGCAGCCTGACCTGGTGGGAGGGCAATCAGCACATGGTAGGGGTAGGAAGTAGATGGGCTTTATGGTCCCTTCCAATCCAAGCATTCTATAAGCCCGTGGCTCCTTGATTCTCCTCCAGTAGCCCCAACGGCCATTAAAATCACACAACCTCACAAGGACCGCAGCTGCAATCTGAGTGATGGAGCCAGCTTTCCCCAGAAAATGCCTGGTGCAAATCTCAGCCCAGCTGCACCACAGCCGGCTTCATCTTCAACCAACCTACAGCACAGGATGCTCCCATCCCATCCCACGTCCCCAAAGCATCACAAGGACATACAGACCTCGGTGAGCAGGGATGGCTGCTGTGCTGTGGGGTACACCCAGCCGTTGCTGCACTTCTCCGTGGCATTCAGGCCGTATGCCACGATGGAGTCGAGGTCCCAGTCCACAGGCGAGTACATGATGCACTGCTCGTAGTCCCCATTCGCATCCCGGGGCAGGGTGAGGTTCAGCTGCTCTTCCTCAGTCAGGTTGGGGCCGACAGCACGGATCCAGTCCGTGTTGCAGTAATGAGGCACGTCCACAACCATAAAGAGCTGGCAGAACTGGTGGAAGGCCAGGCTGAGGCATGGAAACAAGGAGAACAGCACCAGCCGTCTCTGAAACGGCCCAAATTCACCAGCTGCTTTCAGATTTTCCCCAATGCCCGACATTGTGAGCTGAGTCTGGAAGAGGACAGAGCTGGGACAGACTTTCCCGAGGACTGGAATTAATATTTAATCTCAAGATAAACTCTGCAGACGTAGGCAGGCACTACAAATATGTAACGTCTCTTCCAGATAGACTCGACACCCAATGTTTTTACCTGTCCTAAGTACACCATGTAATACATTAATCATCTCTGTGCCACCCACAAACACGGGGTATCTGTTACAAGGGAAAGCATGGAGAATCCTTGTTTTGGGAACCTGGATCACATCTCTGCCGCAGCCAGGATACTGGGATTCTTGTCCACATCAGTCATAGGTGCTGCATCTGCCAACATGCTGAGCTGCTCCCATCAGTTCCATTCAAAGTTCAGAGGCTGAAACACCGCTCTGCAGAGCTGGCAGAAGTCTAAGGGAGAAAACAGAGCAATGCTGATGGATGGCAGAGCTGGAGAAAAGGTGTCTGGTTGGATGCACTCCTAACCGCTGAAGTCCCGTTTCCTTCTACAACTTCCTTCCCCGTGCTACCAAGAGCAAGGCACACGTGGGATTCTGCCTTCTTGGCCACCTCACAGCCTAGTGTGGGCTGCATGCAGAGCTATGGGGAAGGCACACGTGGTTGGTAGAAATCTGACATACAGAAGTGTTGCTTTAGGCAAGTCCGTCAAACCTCAGCTCAAAATGCATTAAAATGATCACTGTGAACATGAGAGCAGCTCTGTTCAGCCTATTCCCTGAGGTAGGAGCAGCATTTGTCCTCAGGTGAGGCTCTGTGAGGGTCTCCATAGGTGCCCAAAAGCGCCCAGAAGCCCAACTCGGGATATTCTAGTATTTCCTTATATTTATGATGGATAAAATAACGGGAGAACCTGGGCTGGGCACTGCTTTTACAGGAGGCTGGAGGAGAACCAGACCCTTACCCCAGAGTAATGCCCAAGGCTGTGCAATGCCACCCAAACCCCTTCCCCAAGACACATAAACCACACAGCCAACACAGGTGACAACGGACAATTTGTTCTTTATTGATTAAAAATTAGAGACATGCAGTAAAATACAAAGTCCAAAAAAAGGGGGGAAAAAAAAAGCCTGAATATTTTACATCTTTCATTATAATCTACAATACACCAAAGTCGTGAAGAGGATCCATTTCATTAACAGAGCATTGTCCTTAAAAGTAGGAACAAACTTAAAATTACCACCTGCTTCCAGGTTCGGATCAGAAATTTCACAAAAAAAAACCAAAACAAAACAAATTCATGACACTGAAGAACAATTATGAACAGCATTGGCACTTACTGGAACAACATCAGAAAAGACAGTTGTCTAGCACTGTAAGAGCCCAAGTGAAAATTCTGGATTGCTACCCAAAATGTCTGGAGAACTACAGAGCAAGTGACATCAGTTTCTTCCTTACCCATTTTCTCCAATAAAGAACTAAGGAGCCTCAGGTTAGTGTGAGCTCACACTCTACATCCTGGCTTTAGGAAGGTGAGGAATAACTTAATAAATAGAGGCTGCATTGTTCCATTTGGGCAGTTCAAGTCCTACCTTTCTCAGCACCAGGATGCAAACCAACAAGCAGTCCCCCACAGCATGCAGGCAGAAAGGAAAAGCAGTGCTGCACCAAGACTGCCTCATCTCCACATCCTAGTAGTTTGCAGTACATTCCTATTTCCCATGGGGTGACACAAACAATCAGAATGCCAGCCTGCTCTTCCCAAGCCAGGAAGCTCACTGGGGGAAGCCTTTGGGAGTGTTCCATGTCAAGTAACACAAAGATGTGTAAGAGCTGGCACATGCATGTGCATGCAGACTTGGCCAAACCCAGCCACCACCAGCTCCCCAACATCTGATATCCACTTCCTCAGCTTGTTGAGAGCCTCTGCTCAGCACCCCAGGGCACTCTCAACTCTCAGACCCTCCTCCTCCTCTGCATCTCCTTCTCATTCACCAGCAACAGGGCTGCAGACACTTGGCAGCACCTATGGGAACATATCCACTACCCACCTACGGACTAAAAGGGACACGGGCAGTACAAAAAGAACATGCACAACTTAGGAAGCTTCCGCAGCTGCTCATCAAGAAAAATATATAAATATAGATTGTTCATCAGAAGACTCAGAAATAAAAAATGTCCTAATTGAACCCACTCGTTCTGCTTCAACACTCTGTTTCTGCATTGTTGCTGGCTGAGGGAAACCAAACACGTTTCCGTCTGTGTGTTACATTACAGGCTTACAACTGCTGTGTAGAAAACACTCCAGAGCCAACAGCAGTTACAAAGGCCAACTGTGAAACTGTAAGAGAGAAAAGAAGAAATCAACACCATTTATTCTTCACGTATTGCATTACAAGCGTCTCCCATCAAACTCCAAGTATAATTCATGTTATTCCTGTAGAAATTCCAATTCAACTCCACATAGAAAGAAGACCTAAGTACGTGTGACAGGGTTGTGGTGACATCGTGATCAGACACGGAGGCTCGGACCGCCGCCAAGGCTGACGACCCCAGCGCTCAGTGCAGGAGGGACGCAGCCCGGCGCTCGCTTGCCCAGTAATGCTGCTCTGCTGGCAGTTCTTTATTGCTGTAAGTCACGACAGGGATGGTTCCACGGGTACCAGTTTGCAAGGGACGGGAAACACGTCAGGGAGGACTCGCACAGCCAGGCACAGCAGACTGGCTCTCAAGAACAGTCCCACGCGCGACTTTTCCAAACGCAGTGACACAGATCTCCTCTCCCTCTGACTGTGAGTGGTGAGTTTGTTGATCATCTGCAAGACCAGTTTCCAGACAGCAGTGCCTCGTTGCTCTGCTTTAAGAACAAACTACATCTAAGGATGTAGATTGAAAGACATGTTTTGAGGAAGGACTGCTTAACGTAAATTAAGAGGTTCAGCCGTCATGCCACGCCTGGCACTCATGTGGAGAGAACCCAAATGATAAAAAACAAAAAAAAAAATTAAGGCAGTTTACAAAGGGAAGCTGACTTCTAACACTCTGAAGTCGAGGAACTTCTCAAAAACACAAACACAAGGGAAGAAGGCTCTCCCTCCTGTGGGTTAAGACTTGGCTTGCCTTCTCAGGTGCAAGCGTTCAAGCAGTTTAAAAAGACAGCTGAAGAGAAGCAGATTTCTCAGCACTCCAGGTGACACAAGCAATATGTACACTGGTGTTTCAGATGGAAGGAGAAGCAGGTAAAAAACAAAACAAAAGATCTGTTCGGTATTAAAACTTGTGCAAAAATAGCAAGTGAAAAAAATGAAACCACATGTAAGCAAACATTTAGGCGAGATCATCAGAGCAGTGGAACCCCCGCTTCGTACTCAGTAGTATTTTTCTTTAAAGTAAGGCAATAATAACATGAACATGCAGGCAATGACATGTTGGATCTGCATGTTTGAGATGACATACAAAAACATGAGACTTGTTTACAAAAGGTGTAAACGCCATCGGTAATCTCAGGAAGGTTTGTGATCCTATTAAGGAGAATGTTAAAGCTTCTAGGAAGGGGGCTGTAGTTCAATTCTTTGGCAGTAGTGGTTCTTTTTTAGGCTAACAGAAGCATTACAAATATGCACACGTGGGTTCTCTGTTGGGAATCATCTCCTGGGGCCATTGTTTAGCTGATGCTGAGCTGTGCAAATCCTATAAGTTTGCCATCATCGGGGATATCTGAGCCTTCAACACCAGATGCCTGGAACACAAGGAACAGAGATCCAAATAGCAACACACATGCTCTGCCTCATGACTCACACCATGCTTAGTATCACTATGAGGTACAACAGACATAGTTTATGGAGGCAGCACTTACAAGACAGTTTTGCACTGCAGCCAGCATCACCCAAAGTTAGAACTGAGCTTTGTTTTTGGGGATTTTTTGAGCTAAGAAGAGCTGGGACTGAAGTTCTGCCAGTATCTGCTCTGGCTAGGGATACATGCACTAAACAGGGAGAAAAGGATAGCTTATTCAGGGAAAGGGTCAGAAGTAACATAACTGATGGCTTCACTGCCTATAAAATGGTTACACCCTTGCTTTATCACTATAGTTATCTATGCATTTCACTATCTGCTGTTATCTCTCTTCCTCTAGCCTTTCTTCTCTGCCTTTGGTATCCCCCATCAGCCTTCTCTTCTTTCTCTGACACTCTCCTCCTTCAAGGAGTCACTGACATTTTTGCCCACTTACCTGCCCTGACATATTTTTGCCATTTCCAGGCCTGTGTAACTTCCAGACCCAGAAAACACCCTTCTGTAACATTTTTGTATGCTTACAGGTCAGGCAAGGGCAAGGGAAGCTCCGTGTTAGCACATCATCTGACACAGCTTTTTAAGCCAGGTCCTGCTCAGAGGACAAGATGGGAGCCTGCATTGCCTACTATTAGACAACCAGTAGAAGCTTTGGAAAGGAGGTTTTAGAGTGCATGCACTAGATGCCCACAGTAGACACCACAAGCATCTATATGCAATGTTTTATCTTTGCAAGTGACAGCTTGTGCAATTAGGGAACAGGAATAAATACCAGTTTGAAAGTGACGGATCTGTTGGCTTGAGGCTCTTCCACAATTTTCTGCAAATTAGCTGCAACTGAAATCACACAAGAAAAATGGGCAAATATTAGTTCTGGCCAGAGAAAAACCATCCCAAACTCATAAGGTTTCTTTATATTAGTCGAACTTAGAACAGTTTAAAATGATACAAAAAATTTTGGCCTCTGTTAGACTCAGTTTATTTAAATCTAAAGATTTTTGTTACAGTGCTTCTTTTGAAAAAGTACTTTTTCCCCTCAAAGTCTAATTAGTAGTAACAATTTTCCAAATGTGCCTGAAAACCCATCTACTTTTGCACTAGCAGCCTTTCCAGATATTGCAGGAACAGTTCTGCTTTCTGTAGCTGAAATATATGGGTGCTGTTAGCAGTTAAATCCCACCTGTTGCATAAAGGGGGCATGTTTATTTAGGAAGCTGTTCTTGGATGTAGTTATTCATATGCACTTGAGTGCAGCAGCAACACATGCTGTTGTCTTAGCCCAAGTGCACTGCATGCACTAGTGCTTCATACTTCCTTCCACAGCCTGCCTTAAAACAAAAAAGCCTGGCTGATTCCAGTCCCAAACCTCTCTTTGTGCAGAACCTATCAGCAGTACAGGCTTGTGAAGCAATTTGGCAGTGCCTACGTCAGATGAGACTGATTTAGTTAATGCATTGATTAACTTTCATTTCACATTACAGGGAACATTTGCTTTGTAATCCTTTCAACTAGACCCTATTCTTGTGAACCAAAGATTGCCTAAATATATTTAGGCACACTGGAATTACCAGCAGTTTTGTACAGCCACTGGGGTAGAGAATCAAGGCCATGGAGAACTCTCCTAGCACCCACTCATCAGGTCATGTTAAAGATGCAGAAATGACTGAAATGGTTCGAGCAGAAGAAACAATTGATAATTACCTATTACCAGATCTCTGCCATCAACAAGCCCTGCTGAAATTAGTTCTTGAGACACACCATCAGCAGTATCTGTTGGGGAGAAACACAGCAACTGGTAACCATACAAAAGAAACTGTCCAGCTGACACAGGTCTCACACAGAAATCTAGAAGCTTGTACAAAAAAACAGCAAAAATGTTATTTACATGAGACAGCGTATGCAAGCTGCAAACTTTCATTTCAAGTTTAACTTTTCTAATGCTGACCAAAAAATGTTGTCTGTACTGAGCTGGAAAAGTTCTGTTTTCTGAGCTGCAATGACTGTGCAGTTCCAGGCTTGCTCTTTTTCCCCTATTCTTGTCAGGGCAAATCCTGAGGCTACTCTAAACTTTCAGAGCCCTTGGCCTTCACAACCACCTGAGACGTTCCCTTCAAAATCAGTAAAAAAAAATAAGTCCACTCACCCAATTCAGGGCACTCCTTAAGTACACCCTATTGAAGAGGTGTCTTTCAACGTGTAGTGAGGCAGCCTAAAGGACAACCTGCTGCAAGCCAGACATTTACATAGGCAAGTTCTAGGCTTGTATGTCTACTCCACAATAAAAGGGTGACTTGGTAGGGAAACAGATCATTCACGTGGAAGGGGAAAGCCCAGCAAACTAATAATTTGTGGATGCCCCTTCTCTAGAGGTGTTCAAGGCAGGCCAGGTTGGATGGGGCCCTGGGCAGCCTGGTCTGGTATCAAATGGGGAGGCTGGTGGCCCTGCATGTGGCAGGGAGGTTGGAGATTCATGATCCTTGAGGTCCCTTCCAACCTGGGCCATTCTGTGATTCTGTAATATCTCCATTGCTATCTTCTCAGATCAGTTCTTCTTCTAGCTATTCATTTTTAATATGGGATCAAAGGTCACAGAAGGGAAAGGGGAAAACCACACACTTCCATACGTCAACCAGCCTACTGCTTACAGCAGTGCAGTAATTCAGTTCTGAGCTATGCTTCCAGACTGCAAGCTAAAATGCATGGAATGGCTGTAACTCAGTCATATTTGTAACAGTTTTACATGAGAGGCCTCTTAGCTGCAGTGCTCAATTGAGCTAACAGCTCAATCATAAGTCAAGCCTTGGAATACCTGTAGGAAGGCACAAGAGGCAGACAATCTCACAGCATCTCCATACACACAACTGAACAATACTAAACACAAAAGGTCCCTTTAACCAAACCACCCTCACGCACCGGAATGTCACACCAGCTCACCTCTCCCTGGTGTAAATTCAAATCGGATATCATTGAGTTCTTTCTTTGAATTCCTGTGGGAAGAAGAAAACGTTACATGGAAGAGAACATTTCATTGCTCTAAGCAATGTTCAAGAGAACACCGTGCTACCAGCAAAGAATTGGTCTGTGAAGAAAACTCAAGTTCACTATGCTTTTCCTCCCTGAATGGCAGAAACCATTCACTCGGCTGTGCGTCTGGAAGCCAAGCTCTCAACACCATTCCTGTCTACTTCACAGAGCATGGAGTGGGCAGAAGTTTACAATATGTGAGTGTCAGTTCTCTGGTACAGTGCCACACTGTTCCACTGTCAGCAACTCATAGCTATGAGCAGCTTTGTCCCTGGAGCACAACGTTCAGAGGAAGCAAGCACTCTCATTCTGTGGATGCAGCCACCCAAGAACAACTGTGATACGATGCTCAGAAGAACCAACCAAGTGCCCATCTGCAACCAAGATGTCCATGGAAGCAAGAGGCAGATTCCTTAAATGAGAAATGATGGTAGAGTGCACTTATAACCATTTTTCTGCCTTTTCCAGGGACGTGACCCAGAACCCATGTCTTGAATTGGATAAAAGCTCTTCAATCTCAGAACTAGCCGACTGAAGTTGTGCTGGATTATCTGGCTATTGAGGCACATGGCCAAAATCCCTGGGTCCCTGACCCTCTTTTGGAGAACACAGCTTCCTTCCCGGACTATCAGAGTTTAGGGAGATGTATTCAAGTATCAAAACCTTCTTCAACCTAGTTCTTGTCAAACTGGAGAAGCCAATGAGATGAAAACTGCTTTTCTTAGTCCCAGTTTCAGACGGTGAATAGATCTAAGCTGACAAACAATACATGGTCGTGGCTTTTCAACTAGAGGGGCACACAAGATGCACTACAGAGTTCTTCCAGTGTCCCTCTCTACAAAGACTCACTTTGACATAAGAGATCAGTTATGTGTCCTTACCTTAACCTTAGCACAAGGCTGATGGGGACTTTTGTATCTTCCTGTATCGGAGCTGCAGCAGGGGCAGGTGGGGCCTGCAATAGGATTATGTTATTTTAAAACAGACTAATGCTTCCTTTCTCTACCATTAAAACTAGCAATAGACTCAATCAACTATGAATAAAAATAAACATTTAACTCATGATTGGAGTCCTGACAATACAATGAAAATCAAGACAGAATGAAACGGGAAAGCTCTGTGCTTAAATAGTAAATCAGGATGTTCTCTGCAATTGTCTCTAGAAGAGGAAATACTACACAACTTTATGAAATGTCAAATTAGCAGGAAACTTCAGAGTAGATGCTAACTGTAAAGAGAGTGCTTGTTTTGCCTCAAAAAATTAAGGTTTTCAGGCACTCATCCTCATCATGAAGTGCCTGCCACTCATCAGGCACTTCAAGACCTCCTGCATTTTAATCTCTGCCCCAAATATCTGACTTACAAATGTGATACAATTGTGAAGAGTACACAGGAAAAAAATTAATTGGTAGATTAGGATATACTCCCAATTACTTTTTAGTGAAACTGGGGACTTTAGGAGTTACTTATAAGGAGCTACTTATTTTCACTTTTAAATTAGTTCTGAGTAATTACTGGTACCTGCAGTCAAAGCATTTTATATTGCTCAGCAGCAGATTTCCAGTAGGAAAGATCCATCTTTATAGCACTTGTGATACTTCCAGTGAAGAATTAATTATTAATCAAACTCCACAAAAAAAAGCAACCAAAAACCCACTCTAACTGAAAAAAGTCAATTGTTCTTTCTCTGTACAAATTATCTGTGCTGCACATGCTGAGCCAGGGATTTTAAATCTGCAGTAACAGGACAGACAAAGCCTAGCTGAGAATTTAAGCCTAGAAATCTTGACCACGTTCTTTCTTTCATCCAGATCGTCTGCTTTTTCACGAGAGAAAATTATCACCCTTTGTTTCAGAATCATATTCTACTCCATCTGTTGGTGCTCTTCTGCCACCAATGCAGCTCAGAGCTACTGACCACAGTCTGGGATCTGCTGAAGCTGTAAGCTTTACCAGTGAAAATAAGCAGAAGTTCATAGAAAGCACAGAGGTCTGCATAAAGGGAGTGAACAAGCTACAAGAACCAAAGGAAAGCTATAAGGAAGAACACCATAAAGTTCAACACAGGACAAGCTACCAATAAATAAGCTATTGGGCCATAGTGGCAGGGAACAGGATATTCTACTAGCGAAAATCAAAGCACTTTAATTGAGGCCAACATGGCAACATCAATGTACTGAACTGATGAGTCCTGGTCTTCACTGTTGCTCTGGTGTTTCAACTGCTGCATAGAATTCAGGGATTAAATACTGGCCTTTTTTTTTCCCCCCCCCCAAGAGATGTGAAAGTTTGATTTAAGCATTAAAGCTACTTCTAACATAGCCAAGAATGTGACAGATCTCATCTCCACTGTTTTTGTTTAATGACTAATGCAGTGTCTTTAATGGTTTTGTAAACAGGAACATGAGCTGACCGCAGTGAAGCGATGTACGTATCTTTTCTCTTTCTCTAAAACAAAACAATGAAATGTTTCTAGGAAGGAGCAAGTCTAAGTTATTTTTCTGACCAACACTGCCAAGTTTCTTCCCCCTGCATCTGCCAGTGGGTGATGCTACCTTGGACCCATCCAACAGAGACAGCTTCTGCCCATCAACAAATATGAACATTAGTGTCTTTTATGAAGAGGTGCCATCACTCAGGAGTTTGGCACACTCTGCAGTGCTTAACCACAAGAAACGTTCCAAGCATCTCCGTAATTATTTAGTTTGGCCTTTTTTTAACACAAGTTAGAGCTTCTTTCCAATTTTGGCATGTCTGCCTATATGAACTAAAACCTACAATTTGTAGTGATACAGTTAGAAATTAATTGTGGGCTTGTCAAGCTTTTAAATTCCCAATTCTCCCCTCTCAGCTTGAAATGGATTTGCTTGAAAATACCGCAAGATTTAGAGTTCCCCAAAGATAGAGTTTCTCTGCTAGTTTTGACTACTACGAAGACAGTTAAAACCTAGGTCCCCTGTCCCTCCTTTGATGCGTGGAGAACCTACAAGTGCTAGTTTCTTCCTTTCATTTTTCTCTCCATTCTAATGCCACAGACTGCAAGGATGATGGAGCAAACAGAATCAGAACCTGTTTGTGGTGCACCTTAAAAACTTGTCCTCAAACACCAGGAACAAGCAGCTGCCACTGAAATTACTCTCCCTTCTTACCTTTAACCTTACTTTAAAGCAAACACTGCACTCCCTTAACGGCATAAAAACATAAATCATTGCTCACCCACAGTGAAAGTTTCACCAGAAGAACTGCTGAGCTCACATTAGCTGTCTTCCTTTTACAAGCTACCAGGCCAGCTGTCACTTCTATGTAAACAGCAGCACTCGTGCAACTCCAGACAAGCAACTGTCAAGGCTTTCTTTCATTTCTTCATGTCTCAAACTGAATGGTGAAGTGTAAAGCTGAAAGGCAGTACAAAAGGTTACTGATCTTACCTGAGCTGCTGCTGGGGCTGCTGGAGGGGCCTGACTAGGTGGAGGTACAGCAGCCTGAGGTTGTGCAGGTGGTGGTCCTGCAGCCTGAGGTAGTTGAGTAGGTGCCTGTGCTGGAGCACTGAGTGAAGGAGCTGAAGGCTCAGCCGATGGGAATAGCTGTAGGCAAAAGGTGTCTGAATAAGAATAACTCAAGAGTTTGGGCTTGAGCCTACTTATACATCCTACTAGCCAGACAGTCAGAATAGAGCAACTCTGCTAGTTGTAAAGCACTTTAGCATCTATTAATAATTTATGTTTGTAAAACAAAGGTCAGAGTCAGAGCACTTAGGTATTCAAGTGAAAACTACCTTTCTACACAGCACCAGTTCTTCAAAGCATATAAAACAAACTCTTTGGGACTGCACTTACTAAAGATAGTCCCTTATCAAGAAAACGTATACACAATTTAACTGTGGAGAGAGAGAGGAGAGTTAAAGTTTAACCTTTTTGTTGTTCTTAACTCCACATATTTGAAACAGAATAATTGGTTTTGACATGATGGCCAAAGAACTCGAAACTTGATGGCACTTCTGCAGTGTGCCCTCCAACTCCCTCCACAGTTATGTAGGAAACATAACTCACCTTGGATGCTTAAAGCCTGGGAATTAGATCTTCAAACCACAATATATATTAAGGGATGTATCACAACGGAGACATTCATCCCAAATGGATTATGGGTTCATTTTTGATTTCAGAGTTAGCTTAAAATTATACCACAAGATCTGCAGTCTTTCTTGAGACTTCCCTTCATAATCAATTGTTGAAAACAGATGAAAGTAGAACAAGTAGGGAAAGGAAAGACACAGTACATGCTCTAGGAAATAAGCAGTCTTTATCACTGAAAGATAAGATATACTAATATTCCTAATGTAAGAAGCACAGGACACAGCTGAATGCAGATTACAAACTGCAATTAAGTTTTGTTTGCAATCAAATACTACTAGAGATTTATTTCACAGTTTTGAGCAGAGATTCCTACTCAGTGTATTTATGACAGAAATAATAAGAAGCTACCATATTTGGGAAGACATTCACATTTAATATTTACCTCTGAATTCTGTACAGGTTCTTTCACTCTGGGAGACTGAAAAAAAAAAAAAACCAACAAGAAAAGGTTGTCACTGCCTTGACAGAAACTACACTTATCAACTAGGACTTGTCAGAGTTGTACTGAATGTATAAAACTTACTGTTTTTTTTTTTTTTTAAATTACACATAGATATTAATATGTACAATGAAATGAAAGCCACAATTTGGTGGCAATCTAATCACACTACAATATCCAGAAACACACAGTCATGTCTCAGGAGCTATAGCTGGCATACAGTGGTACACAGTACATAAGCTGCTCTAATTGTTAACCAATATCAAGATCAAGCATTCTTCAAGAAAACTCAAGATCAACTCAAACTGCTTGTGCAAGGTCCATTCTAAGCTACCCAAATCTCACAGAAAAAGATAAACAAGTCTGCTTTATAAAATGCCATAGGAAACATATCCTTTGCTGATATTTAGAGAACCTGTTTGCAAGCTAACTTGCTTAAACCATACAAAGTCTTGAGAAAAAAACAACAGCCTTATATATGCTGCTTCATAGAGAAATCTTCCTGCTTCTCCTTGCTCTTGGACTCTGCATGATGCTATGCTCTCCCTGAGAGAGAGCAGAAAACTGACAGCTATGCACAAGTTCAGCAGTGGAACAAAAATCAGCGTAATGGGAAGGAAAGTGCAGTCAAAGCAATGTGGTCAATCTTTGCTTATCAGTAAACAAAGACAACAAGCATCAATTATTTCACATGGACAGAAAGGAATTGCCAAGAATTCCTGAAAAGCTCTGCAATTAAGATAGCCTGCATTTTTGGCTTCTAACAGGTCCAATTACTGTACAGAGATTAGATAGGTCCACACTGGGATTAACAAAATGAGTGTTCTACACCTAGAGCCTAAAAGACAGCCTGATATGAGTCCAACAGAACAAAAGTTATCATGCCACTAAACCAGGGGCAATTTATGCAACAGCCAATGCCAATGACTTAACTGGTACAGGTCAGGACAATTTGTAATGTATGACCCAGAGGCATCTCACTAGAGAAAAAGAAACAGTCTTACTCAGAGAATAGCAATTTGCAAAAAGCCATCTGGACAGAAGGAGAAGGAACAGCTCGTTCACAGTGACTAATTGCAGACAGTGTCAGGAAAAAGAAGTCATGCAGCTGGAAAGGTAAACGCTGAAATCCAACCTGGAAGGGTAAAGGCTGAAATCCATCTTGATGTGTTAAGCCTTCACTTGACAGCGACCAGGCAAAGACGAAAAACACGGCATTGCTCCCAGAGGTAAACAGCAATGCTCCACATCTGCAGGCCACAGCTTTAGTGCTGTTCTCTCAGGCAGAAAGTTCACATCCAAGAGCACCCGGGTGCCTCAAGGAATAACTCAGAGCTTGTCCAAAAGATCAGTGTGTCAGACACTGGACAGACAAGCATGGGACACAAGCCCTGCCCTGCAGCTAACCAGCCCAGATAAAAGGCAAACAGAGGTAAACTGAGGAAAAAGCATGAACAGGCAGAATGGAAATAAGAGAAATATTAGAATACATTTACTTAAGGCACAAATAGGATGATCGGAGAGGGCATGCTTAAGTATACATGCACACAGGCAGAAAACTTTTTTAGTGTTAATGTTTGTCTGCTTTCTGGTGCAGACTCAGCAACATATTTGTAAAACACACACTTTATGTATTAAATCCACCTTGTTTTTTCTGTACAGTGGAAACTGACAGCAAATACAAACTATTTATGTAAAGCTTTCATAGAAGATAGTAGTGAAGTACTTCAGCAAGTAAAGTCAGGCAATAAGCCATCCTTTAAGGCTGACAGCAGTAAAACTCAGGTGCAGCAGGAATAAAGGCTACAGTCTGAACTCACACTATTCACCAATTCAGTAAAACTGTGAAGGGATTACAGGCAGGTGGAATTGATGTGGCATTTGAAATATGGTCAGAACACAGAATTAATACTCCATAACATCACAGTATTTGTAACAAATGTTTGCAATTTAGATCCAAGTCTAAAAAGGGGATCAAATGGAAGAGGTGCATAGGGGCTCCTGTGCTTTTCCCTCTGGGCTGCACAGATGCCCAGGGTCCAAAAGTGAAGGCCAGGAACGTCCCGTTAAAGAGATGAGAAAAGACTGTAGTACAAGGAAATGTGTCAAAGCTCCAAGAAAAGCAAGAAAACAAAGTAACTTGAAAAGGAGCTTGTAAACATGTGTTTTTCTGTGTAAAAGGAATGAAACATCTAAGAACTGTTCAAAACACAGTAAGTGGGATTAGTTGATAGGATTCTGAGAAGATAGAGCAGGTTCTAATTAACCTCTGAAATAGTTAGGGTTTTTTACAGTATTCCATCCTACAGATTGATTGTATTTTAGTCTGTAAGAGAGATTTAGAGGACTTGAGCTTATAAAGAATTTCAGTAATACCCACCAGGAACCAAGAGATCCTTCTTAACTGCAGGAAGGAGTGGATACAGCGAGCTCTTAAAAGTCACATAGCTGTTAACACAAATTATTACATGGAATTGGTATACTAACAGCTATCTGAAAAACCTATGACTTTGAAAGATGCTAAAGGAACTAAATATGTCTTCAAATATTAAATTTCTACATAGATCACACCAGCAGAAGGATGAGAAAAGTGGAAGCTGTTAAGGAATAAATGCTTCAAACCCAATGTGGTTTTTTTTTTCCATATTGAAGATCTTCCTCTAGATACCCTTTCCTATCTCAAGAACTCAGCAGAACAATTGAAATGCACTTCAAGCTGCCTACTTCACTGAGAAGGAAACACAAAACACAAGAAAGCCACTACAGTGAAAATTCTGCACTGCTGACTAGAGGGAGGAAGACTATGCATGTCTCATTTGCGTTCCTAGGGGATAGGCTGCATGTGTTGTGGGGACAAGGTGTGTAGCGGGGGGGACTTTCAAGTGCCAGACCTACTTCCTGTTTGCAACTTCAGGGATGCAATGGGATTTTCTACTAGGGATTAATAGATCTCAGTGTAACCGAGAGTAAGGAACTCGATTCTGTTTCAGACATCAGCCATAAGAACAGGCCACATTGATTCCAGTTCCATCTTGAAGAGTGCAGGACAAAATCTCTCCTGACCCTTCCAGAAGAAAGCACCTCAAACAGACAGTAGCCTTAAAAACAAAGAATACCTAAGCTCAAGTGAATGAGCATACCAAGCTGGGAGCACGCTGTCTGAATTCCTGCTCTCAATTATGCTCAACATCCCTGAATTAGACCAGCTGTGCCCCAGAACGACTACAGAAAAGATATCAGTAAGAACTTCAACCTTCAGTCTGCTTTCTCTGGTTTGGCTGCAAACTTGAGGGGAGGGATAACAACAACTTACTGCGCATCATACTTAGAACAAAGCTTGACCCATGCCAGGCATATTTAAACATACTACAGTTAGAACACAACACAAAGCTGTTGGAGTCTGAGGACCCACCCTGAGCTGTGAAATTGCTGCTCTGCCTTCCTCACTTTCTTCATCTAGTTCATCATCACTCCATTCCCAGCCGCCATCCTCAGTCTTATGGAGACGCCCGCTGGATCCTGGGACCCTCCTCACCTGTTCAGCACAACGACAGAGAACACACAGGTCAAGGAGATTGCTTCTAGAGTTGTTGTTTTGTTTTAAAAGGAGAAATGCATCTTCAGTCAGCGTGTTCAAATGTTTAATAGAACATCTAGCTATATCTAGGAAATACTGCACTACAATCACGCTCATTAAAAAACTAGTACAGTCGTAACAGCAAGAGCCCAGCAGCTTTGCAGTACCTTTTTGGATCTTTCAGTAATTGTTGGTGCTCTCTGTAACATCTTCTCTTGTAAAAACTCTTTATTCTGCAAAAGAAAAAAAGGAAAATAACAAAACATTCACACTGCTAGAAATACCCTTTGATTCCTTCAGGGCATCTGATAACTAAGCTGTTTAAAATAATTTCTAATAACATAGTTTGTTATATGCTTCACCCTCTTTTCCTCTCAAAGACAGATCAACTATAAGGACAATTTTACTGCTACCTTCCTTTGTACCACAACGTATGATGCTTTATCCTAAATACCTTCTAAGTTAGTAGTTGCATTTTCCTTAGGTAGATGATAAGAAACTGACAACTGAGGAACTGAGCAAAACTCTGTCTGATTTACTGGAGAACACAGCTGTGCTCACTACATAGCAGCATCTGATATCCTGCTCTTTGCAGGTACTACAGCACCTGGATCTAAGCCACACTGCTGTTTCTTACCCCTACATTTATGCCTGTCTTACCAAAGGCACCTCTCAGAAGTCAGATAGGCAAGGACATGGGAATCCCTACCCACAGGTATTGGGGCAGCAGCAGTTTGAGTGGCTGGAAAAGTGTGCAACATGTGATGTTAGAGCAGGAGCAAAGGCAGCAATCACAGCAGGTTAAATACTGAAACTGCTGTAAGGATCTATGGCATTGCATTTCCTTAAGACACACACTGCCACATTTTGATACGTGGCTTTCAGCACTACCAAAACATACTTTACATTATATAAACTATCTTCACGTTTGGTTCAAAAGCGTACAGAAGTTGGACTTTCTCATCCTCAGGTTACAGCTGTCAGTTTGGCAGAGGCCAATGGCTGAAGGCAATTTAACACTGAGCACTGACTAGCATGCATTATTCCCTCTGGGTTTAAGCACTGCCTCATTTACAATCATGTTTTTCTATCACTGCCTATGCAAATATGTGACTCTGTAGCAGCTTAATGAAAGCACAAAGGCAATTTTATACACAATGAAGTACAACATGAACTAAAACTGGCATCAGCCAAGTACAGAAAGGTTAGCAATGTGTAAGCCATCTCCCTGTCACTTTGGACACCAAGCATGCTCTCAGTAAACAAGTTGCAAGCAAATCAGTTGCCTAAAATCCCATTATAACATAAAAACTCTACGTGGCTACTGTACACATCTTAATCTGAGAGCTGAGACCTACTGTCATTAATTGCTGACCCCAATGCTCTATCAGCTACCTGTGGATACATGCTCAAGCAGTTTGCTTCACAGCTACGAATGGGAATTTCCTGTTATTTTACATCATGAGATTTTCACTTTTTATCTCTATAGCATGAGGCAACTTTCCACACAGCGGGGGTCTTATTCACTGTTTTGCATACAGACTTATGCAGACAGGTTATAGTTTACTAAAATATAAATATGAGCTCCATTTACTGCCAGACACCTTTATGTGTGGACACACAGCAAGAATGGCACCATTACAAGGGAAGGAAAAATCCTCAAACCCACTGAAAGGCATTTAAATGCTGAAGAATTTCTAAATAATTTATCCTAGTAGTGGCAAACACAAGGAGGTACAGAAGAGAGATTTCATTTTGTGTGTTCGCAATGACCCATTCGACTCATTCAGCAATTCTGGCCTTCTGGAACAGCTCACATTCACATCAGTAAAGCTTTCACCATCCTTCTGACCAGTCCCCCTCTACAACCTCTGCACAGATGAGCTTCAGAAGAGTTTCCTTACCTTTGCTTTTGTGAAAAATTTGTGCCTTAAAAGTTCTGCTGCTGTAGGTCTGTCAATAAAAACAGAAGAAACACTATAAATTTCCATTTCAACTCAAGTCTTACAGGTTGCTGCATCTCATAAGGGCATCACCTCCTGCACCTCCTAGCTGCCCTAGGAGTTAGTCAGTGTAATCAAACATTCTTTTAAGTGTCAGTGTATTCTGAGCAAAGCCTACTGTGAGTTCACTCAGCAGAAAGCCCTGTTCCTATTCTTACAGCCTAGCTGACAGAATCACAGAAGCAATTTGCTGAGAATTTAGATGAAGGATCATCACCTACTGAAGGAGTGCAGTACCTACCGTGTGCTAGTGACAGACTTATTCCAGAGATGCTTCATTATAAATATGTGTAATTAGCTCCTCCCTTTTAAGTTACATGTTAGGACAAACATTGACAAGTAAGAAACAGCCATTTGCCCCTGCTTTCCAAAAATTCAGGCCTCCATGAGAAAGCAGCAGCTTACAACACTTACCCTACTGCAAACTGCCTACGTTGTGTGGTTCCTGACTTAAAAAGGGCATTCACTTCAGACTATGCCAGAGAAGCCTCTCACCTCATAGCAGGGGAGACCTTATTACAAGTGAGCAAAAACACTATAAAAGCAATTCAGTAACTCTTCTTTAACAGCCTGCATGCTTGCATAAACGTATCTGATTCTGCAGGTTGCTCTTCACGGGCAGACCTCCTGCTCCCATAGTAAAGATGATTACAGTAGTTTTTAGTGGTGCTTGAGAAGAGAGATGGGGGATGCCACGATTGGAAGTAATTATGTTTAATTCTAATCACACGTTCTAACCTGCAGGGATAGGATGTGCTTGAAAAATGAAAAAGAATAATATCAAGCTGGGGGAAAAATGTGTTTTGTGCATTTATCAAGCACTCTACTGGACTCCTTTAGCATTTCAAATGTAAAGACTGTTAGAAGAGAGAGAACCCCCCTCCCATCCATCTCATGATGTGTGAGAAGCTTTTGTTCCAGAATCCGGCACAGGAAGGAACTGGAAAATATCTCCACAATTTATATTTTATGAAGAGACATTTCCCTTTCCAGAATTAGCTTACTTAGAGAGAAAAAAGAAAATTAAAAAGTATAAATATTAAAAAAAATGACCTGTGGAAATACTTTTTTTTTTTTTTTTCTTTGCAATTTTAAGGAATGCTATTTTTAATGCAGATCCAACGCTCCTTTCACCATCTTCTGAGCTTTCCCACGTGATGGGCTGTGCATTTTAAACAGCACCAGACAGGAAGACCTTCATGTGGCTTCACACAGTGCCATCACACAGTGACACAGTGCTGTCCTGGGAACCAACCACAACATATGCACCACGTCCTGGTCAATATTTCTACCACCACTGAGCAGTCAGGTTGCAGTTGCAAATAAGACTGAAAGTGCCATCAGCTGACTTAAGCAATGTGTATTGATGAAAACATGTTAGGTAAAATTTGCCACTGTTTTTTTCTGGTATTTTGCCCCCAGAATAAACATGAGTTATAATTAATCAAGTCAAAACTACACTGAGAGCCTTCTTTGCGCTGGCAAGTTTTTAGAAGTTTATTTGCAAAGCTTCACAAATAAGGACACATTGCCCAACACGTAATTTCTGGTTTATAAAGACAGAGCAGTTCTGAGGAGAAACAAAACATGAACTTCAGTCACCTGTTGGTGGTGGCAAGGGGGAGAAGGGCCCTATGCTAGCAGGGACTGGGATGCACTCATTAACCCAAATGAAAGACGTGTGCCCTGGCAAGGCACAATGCCAGACATTTATCCTTAAAAGTAAGGACAGCCAAAAGAATTTGCAGGCACACATTGCTGCATTCATAAGGCTAGAGAAGCAGAGAGTGCACCACTTTAAAAAATGAAACAGAATGAGTCTTGAGGGTTGTTTCTTCTTAAGTTTACTTTGTTGTTATCAGGTCTCACCTTTTTTCAGGGTCTTTTTGTAGGCACGATGAAATCATCTTCCTGAAAGATTTCCCATACTTCTTCAGCATCTCCTTATCTTGCACACCGGTTTCCAAAGACGGGGGATCATTTTGTAGTGTCAGCATTAAAACCTGGAAAAATTATGTCTATTGGCAATGAGATTTTTCTTGGCCTCTATATAAAGGACACAGCTTTGCATCACAGCATTTTAAACAAGCACTTTTATCAAATATCTGAGTTAACAAGGATTGATCCTTACAGCATCTCTCAGGAGGGAAGACTGAACTCAGACCAATTCTTTTCTTCTTAACAGTTTCAGCAGTGTCCTCCTTAATCTTACAACGAGAACTCACCCCACTACCTTTTCCTCAAGGCAACTACAGGGTTTCTCCTCTTCTCTCTGCTTCCTACAATCATTGAGATAACAGTTTACTTCCAAAGCTTTAAACCTCTACAAATTCTGACTGTCAGCTGAGAGTTTCACAAGTCATCCATCAGTACTAGGGAGCATCACCATCCCTTCAGTTCTCAGGAAGCTAGTCTGATTTATAACCAGCAGCCCACGTCACTATCTTCTATTGCATCTTCTGGCCCACAGTGCAGCCCAAGGGTCAAGCATCCAGGCAAGTTTGGTGTGATGAAAGGCATAAACACAGCAGTACTTAGAATCACAGACTGTCTGGCTTGGAAGGGACCTCTAAGATCATCTAGTCCCAATGTCCCTACGCTTAACAGCCTTCCTCATTTCAGATGAGCAAGCATTGGATTCACAGAATCATTAAGGTCAGAAAAGACCTCTAAGATCATCTAGTCCAACTGCCAACTCACCACCACCACGTCCCAAAGGGCCACATCTACATGTTTCATGAAAACCTCAAAGACTGTTTAGATTCCCCTGCAGGTATCTTGTATCCAGAAATGAGATTTGTGTAAAATCCTGTAACACTTGTATAAAAGCAGTAGGGCAATATGAAATACCAGGAGTGCTCCCTTCCACGTACCGCTGCAATGACAGGTGAAGACATTTCTTACACGCCTACACATCAAGACGAACTGATTAGTTTCTTCACATCACTCATACTTTCTCAAAGAAAGGAAGAAAATGACTAATTTCCATTTCCACTTGTCACCTACATCCAGATGAATTTCTATTTTTAGAAAAGGAAGCAGCAAACAGCACACTTAAAAAGCTTTCTTTCCACAGCTATATTGCTTAGGGCAGAGAAAGCCCATCAATCTAGCTGAAATTATACAGTCTACAGAGAAGTCCCTGCTTTTTCCCCTTTCTTTGGAGAGTCACTTAATGCACGGGCCATTTTGCTGTGCACGAAAATTAGTCTGCAGTGAAATACAACTGCATTCCATATATGAAACAGAAATCCTCTTGCAGGCGGCATGACTGGAACCCATATCCAATATAACTGCAGATTAACAACTACCTACTGTGCGACAACATGATACCAAATAGGTGATCTTTGTATTCAAAGCTGCAAGCCATGCACTGAAAACAATAAAGAGAAGTTTTGCAGAAGCTACTGCAAAACACTACCAAATATCAGAGCACAAAGTGTCAGTGAAAACAGCTACAGCTAAATCAGCATGACACTTCCCTCAACTCCTCACTGCACTGCCACAGTCACTGATACGGTATGAATTTGAATGACATTTCTAAACCACTCAGCCATTCTCTGAGCCTCTACACAGAACTGATGCAAATCTTGAAATTATACTGTTCAACAAGAATTAAACACCTGGCATTTAAAGCTGTACGTGCTTGTCCCTGCCCTAATAAATCAGGAGCTAGTGGACTCCAAAAATGCTGTCATAACGTAGAAGGGTATGCACTAAGTTCTAAAGAGATGACGTTCACTTTGCATAGCTCTCCATCAACTCAAGGACTAAAAAGAAGAAAACTTAGTATATGATGTGCTTAAAATTGGGACCAGCCCAACCATAAACTACCTGGCTAGTAAAAGGACTCTCCACCCCCTCCTGTCCAATTTGAGCAAGCATGCATACCAAGGGTAGAAACAAAGTGGCCTTCAAGAGGATGGGATCTGTAACCTACTCCAGGGAAACTGCTTTAGCACTCAGGTTGGACTGGATGACCTCCAGAGGTCCCTTCCAACTCACACAATTCTGAGTGATTCTGTAAAATGTAGAAAGGGCTGGAAGTTTTGCGATCAAGTGATCAAGACAACGTTCATCAGATCTCAGACGGGCTAAGGATGATCTCAGAGCTCAGACAAAGGGCAAGGTGCTCGAAATATCAACTAATGGAGTCAACTCTGGTAACTTTACAATACAAATTCCCTGACAGAGAAGCATGTGAAAAGCAGCTCCTAATTCAAGAAACAGGAAACTGGAGAAAGTCACCCAAACTAAATTCAAGATGTTCAAAGAGATATTCAAAGTTGCAACATTTAAGCAAGACAGTTTCCTCCTTTTCAACTTCAATAAACAATGATGTTGCCAATCCCTTCCCATTTCCTCATGATGTGAATTTCTGACACCATTCAGTGATTAACAGGATTGTTTTCACGTTAAACAACACAACTTGTTTGGGGAACACTGGTAACATGTTTCTGAGAGGTTTCAAGAAGGACCATCAATACAAAAGGAATTAGCTCCCCATCTCAGTGACAGTGGATGCCACATAACATGTTCTGAGTCACTCTTTACAGCTTTAACATCTGCTGTCTACAGAGGCTCCAGGATTGAGCCACACAGCAGTTTCCTCAAGAATGGCGACCCAGGAGAGTCTCAGATCTAAATGAGAACTGCGCACAGCTTCGGACAACGCTGAGTAAGCGGCATATTTTTAAAAGCTGACTTCAAACAAGTCTAAGAACATTGTGATCCACAGATGCAAATAGAGAGGACGAGCTCTTCAACAAAACAGTCTGTCCAAATTCTTTGGGACGCTCATAGAACATTCAGATCCTTTGTCTAACACAAGTATCCGGAGACCTGCTCACCTTCATCGGGGGGTATTTATGATAAGGAGCTGCCCCTGTAGCCAGTTCGATAGCAGTGATCCCAAAGCTCCAGATGTCTGCCTTGAAATCGTATCCTCTGACCTGAAAGATATTAGGGAATGTTAGCATCTGTGTCTCCTGCTATTCTATATGATAGTCCCTTTCTTTAGTTATACATCGTCTCACCCTCCACCCTTTTCTTCCTTCCCCCTCACTTCTCATCAGCAACTTGGAAGCACTAATATTACAGTGCTAAACAGATGGAAAGAACTGCTTTTCCTTTCTCTCTGAAGTCCAATACACCTCTTTGAAGGTACAAGAAGCCACAGTCTGATGGAAGTTACAATCTTGGGCTGAGCAACTGGAGCTGTTCTATCAAAAGCTTCTCCGCATGTGGAACATAAAGGGGCACTGCATACACCCATCTCTGACTTCCACACAAAAAACACAGACATTAAACAGTATAATGAAACTCTCATAGTTAATAGATGCAGCATTATGCCCTTGGGACATATGCCTCACTACACTTTTAGTCAACCACTTCATCAATCTGACTACAAACATGCTCAACCCTACATTTTCAGTGCTGGAAGTACATAGCAATTCAGTTAAATAAAAAAAAAAACAAAACACAAAACCCTTCACTCCTGCTTGCAGACTAATATTTCCCTCCACTAATTAATAGTAGCTTCTGCACTTGACATTAAACAGAGGCTTGTTCAGGAAAATTTATAGCATTTACTTCCCCTCACACACAGGAAAAAATATTTCATACGCCAAAGCGGTTACTTCCTCATTATCATTAGGTAATATTTTGGCACTTGCTTTCTCCACTGCAGGGAAGAGACATTATGCACTAATTTCAAGAAGAGCCACAAACTCCAAAGTGTTTTGGCTGCCTAGGATGGCTTGTATGTCTTCTTGCTCCATTATGCAAAGATGAATAATGAATCAGACCAAAGCTAATAGGCTTACCGTATTCAGCGACACTAACAAGCTTTAGAAGGAGCCCATTGTGATGGAGCCAGAACTATTCCCCAAACTACCTTTAAGATCATCTGGAATTGTGAGAATAACAAAACAAAAGACATCTCCCCCCTTCCACTAGTTTTTGTGATATGATAATTGAATTAAAGTTTATTATAGCAGCAGCAGTTTATATCGTGCACTAATTTCTTCAGCTCTGCAGGCATCATTTTCATGAGCGTTATAAACTATGAAAGGCTTCCTGAAGTGAGAGCTTATGGAAGCCATTGTTATGAATGGCTTTCAAATAATTACACTAAACAAGCACGTGGATCTTACATAATTCACAGGCACACAGCACAAGAGGAAATACACAGCAAGTTTCATAAATTGACATTTCTTCACATCATTTTTAGGTTTTGAGACCAATTTGGCACGCTTCTTGGCTTTGTCTCTCAGTTAATCTCATGGATTTACACGCTGCACAACGCCCCATTTTAACTGATTGGTATTGTTCATTATATTGTACAATCCTGCTCCCAAATGAAAGCTATGAGGTCCAAACCTGCATACTGCCATTCATCTTGAAGCCCATCTCATACATAACAGTTATCACCCTGCCAGTAAGTTTCTCTCATTTATTCTTCCTAACAGCTTTTTTTTTTTTTTGTCATAAATCCAATAAGTGAATGTATATTAAGAGATAACACCAGCCTATCATATATCAACATGCTAAAGGATCTTACTGATGCAGAAGTAAAATGGATGGAATCAAGAAAATCTACAGATGGGAGGCTATCCTACATTGAGCCCTTCCTTCTGCTCCCTGCTGGATGTAACAGCTCAGAGCGACACCTGCTGGAAGGCAGCAGGATGATGTCAGTGGGCACAAGGATTTCACATCAGCACACAAAATGTTTCCTCTACCATCCCAGATGTACTACAAGTTGTGCACTTTTCACAAAAGTGCTGGGCTCCTTAAAAAAAAGAACAAAAAAACAAAAAAAAAAAAAAACCAGCCACCTGCCTCCTGAGAAAACATCTGCCCCATCAAACTACCTCCTTTCTCACCAAAAGCTGTTTCCCCTTTCTAGCATCCTAAGATGCTTTTTTCCCCCTGCCATTCCTAACCACAAGCAGCCTGGAGCAACACTGACACAAAAGACAAAAGCAGTGACAACTCAGACCTGGTTCTGGAAATACTGTGTGTGCTATTCTCATTTCCAGCTGAATTTTCCTCCTCCTCTTACAAATCAATGCACCAAAAAAAACTCAGGAATACACAACAGCAAAGTGGTTCAGAAGTTCTCCAAGAGTGCTCCTGACTTAGGGACACATCTTGCATCCCATGGTGCTCTATCTGTACACAGGGAGATTGCAGGAGTCCTGCAAAGCCACGATGGGGAGCCACTGAAAAGGCCAAGCAGCGAAGAAGCCTTTCATAAATACTGCATTTAAGCCACTCCAAAATGATCTCAATTCCTCCAGAAGTTTTAGGTATAGGAAAAAATGTGTTAAAAACTCTACGGCTGTTTTCACTTCATTTCATTTTAGATTATATATGCGTGGAGGTGTTATCCAAATTCTCCTAAAATCTTTTACTACAAAATAGGAAGAAAAAAAAGTACCAAGCTAGGTTTATTTTAACAAAACATCATTGTTCCAAAACATCTTTGTTTCAAAAATTCCTGGAAGAAAAAAGGAAAAATACAGAGTCTGCAGTATTTCTGCTTGGTGCACATGCCAAAAACGAAACCAATTCCAGCTCTCTGTCAAACTGGTTTTAAGACTGTGATGGACAGCTCTCAGAATGTTTATGACACTGAGCATCCTTGCCACAGACACTGCACAATGCTTTGTTGGAACTGGAGCATAACTCTTCTGGTTGATTTTGCTCAGAAAAGGCAGCAGTGCTCTACATTAAACAAAGTCTTCATCAGTGGTCAAGCAGATAAAGCTTACCCCTGTAGTTTAGTCTAGCAGTGGTGGAAGACAAGAAGTATGACAGCTATGAGCCAGGCCGAAGGGAAGAGGAGGAAGGAGGAGAGGCGTTCCTCAGTAATTACATTCTGGACACTCATAAGCCAAGAGAAACTAAAAAGCTCAATAAAGCCAACTGTGCATTATTTTACTGTGATAACTCTCCATCTTGACACAATGCACCTTACCTAACTATATGTGAATATTTGCCACACATGAAACTATTTATATTCTGCCTGACATTTAGGCATGAGGGAGGGGCAGGTTAATCTCCTTTATGCAATAGCTAAGCTGCCTCATACTTACCTTGGGTACAAGCTTGGAGAGAAGCAACAGGGTGAGAAGCTACTGAACATTCCATAGGAAAGCCTGGCAGCAACAGCCATATGTAAGACAATTCTCTGGTTTTAAGCCTCACAGGATGCAAAATTGTCATCTTAGGTGAGAGTAAATATGGCTGTTCCTGAACACAAAGATTCCAGGTGCAGACTAGCTAAGAGGACGATGCTAGGAAAAGCAATTCACCTGTTCCATAACTTCTGGTGCCATCCAGCAAGGTGTGCCTACAAATGTTTTCCTGACTTTATTTCTGGTAATGTCACCACCGGTGGCCAAAAAAGCACTGACGCCAAAGTCTGTAAAAGAAGCAAAACAAACTGCATTAAGATCACATCCTGAGCAAACTGAAGGGCTGTCCCCCTTGTCCCCCCATATTTCCAGCCCCTTATTAAGCAGTAGAACATACAGTTACACATGAGGAGTTTCCTAATGAACGAAGAACGATCAACAGTTAGTGAAGAATGCTGGTGCATGAATACTCTGTAGTCAACCATTCAATTACTTCAGTGTTCAGTGCTGGCCAGCAGAGAGGAAAATTCCACTTTCCATTACAGCCCACTGGGCACATTAAGGCAAGCCTTGCTGCTGTACAAGCCCGCCCTGGGCACTAAGTGCTTTATTTGTGTTTGTATACGTACATAACTAATGACAGAGCCTCAAGTGGCATCTCACTAATATCTAAAGCAATCAAGACTTTTCTGAACAAAAGGATTTGAGTGCATATGAAGCTAACAGTTTGCAATATTTGCCATAAATGCACAGCCTGCAAATTGGTATCAGCCTCTGACCCTGGATCTTCTACCATCAGAACGTGCTTTGTTTGTGAAGGAAGATTATTCCATCACTGAGATGCTCAGAGTTTTACCAGGAGGAGACATGAAGAGACAGGAACTGGGTCTAAGTTTGCTCAGAAGGAAGCATTACCAAAGTTTTAGCAACCAAACCATTCTTAGAGAAAATAACTCAGTCAGGTGACAAGGAAACTGTAAACCCAAACCAAGTATTTCCTCCCACTTTGCTCTAAACAACACAGCTGCGTAAGCTGAATTGCAGAATTATGGAGTTGCATCTGGTCATTCTCCATCACTGAATTTTATTTCTTCCCCTCCTTTTTATTGTTGTTTTTTAAAAACAGTGCAAACAATCAAAACCTTCAATGCCATTTTTGTGATTGCTGGCAGGCTCAGAGATCCCTGAACAGGGCAAAGCTCCTCCCTGCATCACAGCAGCAGTACAGCAATGCCCTTCGCACCAATCTCTCAGTATCAAGAAAAACTCAATGCGATGCACTGAAAGATTCCAACTTCTGGATTGCAGTCTTCCAAGGACAGGAATTTAGTACTCACCACTATACTGTACACTGATTATTGAGGGTTCACATTAAAGGCAAGTTTCACTGAAACAGTCAAATGCCTATCATTAGAGTCCAGCTTCTTCCAGATGTGCTATTCTGCTGTCTTCCCCCTTGCTGGAGGCATCTCATATTGCTGCTAGCCTCAAAGTTCTAGCACTTAGATGGATAACTATTGCTGTCAGCACCACAGTCTATATTCTGACGGAAACCCATTAGATCTCCTTGAAACAGATTTTCCATACGTGCATCCCATCCCTGCTTCTCACAGAAACCGAAAGAGCTTCCAAAAATCTCAGATTAAAATTACAAGAGCTATTGATCTCAACACAAAAGCAATTAGAAATTACTTGGAATAAAGCAATACTAACAGACACTTGTCCAAGTGCCATCAGCACGCTATTGTGTTGTGCTGTATTTGAGCTTATGGATATTATCTTACCTCAACTTTTCACGCAGTCATTTGGAGGGTAAAGGAAATGCCACTCAAAGCAAATCCCAGCAGTGAAAACACAAACTCTACACAGCATTCACTGCATTTCACATCAAACACGAGGACAAGTTTATAAACTCCAGTCTGGAATTGTGCCCCTGCATCTGCCATGTGAGGTCTGCAGAAAGTTTAAATGGAATTAAATTGTATTCCATTACACGGTTGATTTATTCAGTGTTTTCCCAATCAATTCCCCTCATTTCCAGAGGGATAAAACAGGCACAACCAGCCTGCACTACTTGGCTGAAAGGAGTGACTTTGAAACAGTTCTCAAATGTCATCTTACTGCCTTCATCCAAGTCCCAGCTATTAAGATAAGGTATTTCCTGAGAGCAAGCACATTCTGTAAAGCCGTACATTAAAATCCTGAGCACATTTAGGGTTCAGCCCTCACTTCTGAGCCACTGATACGATCTGTGCCTCCTTGTCTCTGCCTAAGCTCCCAGATTTACTGACAACTGCCCCTGCTGAACTTCCTTCACAAAGACTACAACAGAGCTGGAACACTGCAAATGCATTTAACCCTAACAAGAGAAGTCATGCAATTGGAAGGACCCAGCCTCAATAGGTTTCCAACACAAGAATGCTGCGACAGCAACAGGCACCAGGGCTGCCGTGTGAGTCAGGCAAACACACTCCCACTGTACCAGAAATCAGATTCTTTTATCCAGATTTAGAAGTCAGACATTAAAAAATCTCTCTCCTTAGGCATCTCACACTGTAACATTTCCTTCATTCTAAGCCAATGTACCTGCTGCTCTATCTAGCTACCGCTAGGGGAAAAAGAAGACTGCACTATAGGAGCCAGGAGAGCAAAGCCAACTGAAATCAGAAAGTTTACTGAGTTTGCATCAGAACAAAACAGCAATTCCCACAGAATCACAGAGTGGCACAGGTGGGAAGGGACCTCAAGGATCACGAATCTCCAACCCCCTGCCACACGTGGGGCCACCGACCTCCACATTTAATACTAAACCAGGCTGCCCAGGGCCCCATCCAACCTGGCCCTTAACACCTCCAGGGATGGATGGGGCATCACAGCCTCTCTGGGCAGCTGTTCCAGCACCTCACCACTCTCTCTGTAAAGAATTTCCCCCTGACATCCAACCTAAATTTCCCCTCCCTCAACTTAAAACCATTTCCCCTTGTCCTGCTGTTATCTACCCTTTCAAAGAGTTGATTCCCCTCCTGTTTGTAGGCTCCCTTTAGGTACTGAAGGCTGCCATGAGGTCACCCCGCAGCCTTCTTTTCTCCAGGCTGAACAAGCCCAGCTCCTCAGCCTGTCTTCACAGGGGAGGTGCTCCAGTCCCTTGATCATCTTTGTGGCTCTCCTATGGACCCTCTCCACTGTCAACAATTCCCAACTTCTACAGGAGTAGAACAACAGCATGAACAACTCAGAGCTGTTTTTAAACACAGACAGCCAAGATACTGTGTCTCTTCAAGCAAAAGTGAAATTATTTCAGAAGACAGCACTGAACATTTCTTTCACTGATCACCTTCGATCTTGCTCAGTTGCCCACCATAAAACAGCTGCAGATGTTCTGAGTGCTTTTCTGTGAACTTTATGCTTTTAAATCTGATGATGAATAAAGCCTGACAAGAGGAAGATGAAGGTCATGGTAAACCAGTGGTAAATGGCAAATTTCTGCTGAGAACGAAGCAGGGTGGTAAGACACCAGAGAGACAGTGAAGAACAGGAATGTTCCCTTTAAAAGCTATAGGGTCATACAGTGGTACTGGATCTGTCAGTACACCCTTACTCTCTCAAACTCTCATCTGGAAAGGTAGAACTGTACGGTCACACCTATTTCTAATAAAATTTCTCATCAGTTCACACGTGGAATGACAGCTGTATTCTTCTAAGCATCACCATAAGCTGAGCCATTCTGCAGTAATGTCAGGGCACATGAAAGATGAACAAGATTTCTCTAAGTAAATGTAAAAACTGCTCCTGAAACAGAGTCCCAGATGCAAGTTCATTAAGATATGCTAATGCTGAACAAAGTAACTTCAGGGTGACGAAGCACATGCTAGTGAAGACGTTGCCTTTGGAGAAAGCTCACAAGTGGTTTCAACAACTGAGTAACGCAACATCTCTTCAGGAACTCCTACAGATGACACAAAGAAGAGGTTAACACCAGGCAGCTACAGGGCAGGCACCACAACTCCCCATCAGCCGCCAGGAAAATCCTTTTTGCCCTTTTTTGACCAGGAGAAGAGGCTCTGAGGTGAATGTCTGAGCCAGCCCTGCATCAGCGCTCCTCTTCCCAACACAGATTTGAGCCTTGCCCCTGCTCAGGCAATTTAATCACCCAAAGTTGCCATTTCCTAAGGCGAAGGAGGGGAATGACACTGACTGTATCATAGCTAGATGTTTATGTACAGCTCTATTTTAGTACAATGAATTAAGAGCAGTCAGGAACACAGCGAACTGGTGACAAGTTGGCATGGATTTGTGGAAAGTTACACAAATTCAGTTACACAAGTTTTGCCTGGCCTTAACTATCCCCATTTTATAAATAGATAAAGTGCAAGGGGTTAGGCAGCTTGCCCAGTATCAATTAGCAAGTCCCAAACGACTTTGTGAGATCTCCATCTACCACCAGGCAACACTGCGTGCACAGGAAATTGCAGGCACACAGTGCCAGAGGGAGGCCCCTGGGAACAGGTGCTAATCCTGCCTTGTTTTAAAGCCTGGGGGGACAATAGCAATGCCTTCAATAGGAAAATCCCACACGGCGAGGGATGCGGATGTTTTCTGTGAAAGCACGTCAGCTTCCTTAGACTCTTGTTTCTTCATTCTGTAATGGAGGAGGGTATGATAGAACTGTTTAATATCCCACTGATTGTAATCAGAAAGAAGGACTGACTCTACACGCAGTTGCAATGAGAGGGGAACACGGTGCCTCGGCTGGAACACGGTTCATAGTGAGCAATCCTCCTGCACCGAGTGTGCTCTCCTCTCATTCCCTTTCCCATCCCTCCCCATTTATCAGCAGCCTCTCACTTCATCTTCCAGTAATTTAATAATTGCACAGTTACATAAACTCAGGAACATCAAGCCTTGCTTGCTGTGAGGAAGCCTCCTGGTTTCTGCTGTGTGTTAGAATCATTGCACTTTATGTCGACAAGAAGTGTTTTTACCCATACAAGCTTTTAGACTCCACGGAGCCAGTAAATGCCAGGGCACAGAGGTTTTATGTTCTGATTAAAAAAAAAAAATACAGTAATTGCCATGGAGAGACTGGAACACAAAAGAACGCAGCTATCTCAATTTACACTGCAACCACCACCAGCACAACCCAGAACAATGGTATCAGGGAAAGAAAGTTCAGCTCTCCCAGAGATAGATTAATTCAGCGTGCAAGAAAATATTCCAAACTGAGAAAGCAATGCTCTCCAGATCATAACAGGCTCCAAAGACTTGGTGCCAAGCCACAAGCCCAAACCAGTGCCCTTGGGAAAAAGAGCAAAAAAAATGAAGATAGAAGCAAACAGCTTCAATTCAGGCTTTGGTGGCATCTGTTAAAGGCAATTTTTATGCCTTGGTTCAGTGGATGCATATTCTGAAAGCAAAAGGAGCACAGTTAAAAATAGCCTTGAATAAAAATACCAAGTCCTGGGACCTGGGGAGGAGATTAAGCCAGGCGTTTGCGAGGGCCATTAGAGACATTTTTAGAATGCCTACTTTCAGTGAATGCCTCTGAACTCAGAGATATTTCCTCTCGCTGCATTACCTGCACCAGCCTGAACTCAGTGCATCCTGTGTCCCAACTGCACCCTTCAGCTCAGAACTACGAGAGAAGCTGCACACACCCTCATCAAGGTGCTTTTTCTGTTCAGTCTTCAAGAATTGCACAGTCTGTATTAGTGAAAAAGGTTTCTCTATTTTGAGAGAGCACTGAGGGTTGGAATTGTATAATGCAGCAGCATGAACTGTACACAGGGAAGGTTTCCCAGGTGTACATTAACAGTACTCGAATTCAATTCTCTGATACATCGTGGAGGAATAGCCCAGCAGTAGGGTTACCTCCACTACAGGGCAGGCATGTCTATAAAATTCCCTAAAAGAAGCTGCTTCATTTGGAAGGATTTGCAGTGTCAGATTTACATTCCTCAGCTTTGCATTTAAGATTTCCATTTCTTCTGAGACAAGCACGGCCAATGGTGTCAAGAAGCAGCAAGCACCCAGGAACGTGAGGCTGCAAAGGCCAAACATTCAGAGCTTCACATCAAGGGATTTGCAGGCAGTTTTGATGTAAGGATGACAAAGGGGAAAGGATGCATTATAAAGAGCTGAAGTCATCTTTTCCAGATAAACTGTTAGCATTTTTACATACACACCAACACCAGTTTCTTCAAGGGAGGGGCCCCATGTGCTCTAACCTCAGGCTTCATTCCACAGCTGATCAATTTTTATTTCTCCTCATGGTGTAACTTTCCAGTGAAATAAATAGTTTTGTTTCATGGGAACACAGTGAAGTCACCCAGTTGATAATTAAAGCAGTCGATTATCAACCAAATTATTCATAAGACACATAAATATTGTCAGAAGGCGAGCACTCTGATCTTGCTGAAACAAAATTCCCTTTATTTGAATTGATTTGCTTCCAGAAACTTTTCGCTGCTCAAAACTTTCACAAGGAATTTCGCTATTCCATCCTGGGTCAGGAAGAAAGGAAGCTTAAGTGTCAGAAATTCCCACAGAAACAAACTCTCATGTTTTGCCCAGGCCAACCTCCTCTCTCCTATTTGGTCATTCATTTATTTTTGTTTCTTTCAAGTTATCAGCTGCTTTCACAGAAACAAAAGTGCTTCCAGATGCTGTTATGAACTTGGTTGAGTTCAGTTGCTCTACTTTATTGCAAGAAAGATTAGAGAGTTATTCCTTGTGCACCTTCAGAGAAAAAACAAACAAACAAACAAACACTGTTACAGGGAACATTCTGTTGCACACAGAATCATAGAATGGCCTGGGTTGAAAAGGACCACGATGCTCATCCACTTCCAACCCCCTGCTGTGTGCAGGTCACCAACCAGCAGACCAGGCTGCCCAGAGCCACATCCAGCCTGGCCTTGAATGCCTGCAGGGATGGGGCATCCACAGCCTCCTTGGGCAACCTGTTCCAGTGCCTCACCACCCTCCGTGTGAAAAACTTCCTCCTAATATCTAACCTAAACCTCCCCTGTCTCAGTTTAAAACCATTCCCCTTTGTCCTATCACTATCCATCCTCGTAAATAGTTGTACCCCCTCCTGTTTGTATGCTCCCTTCGAATATTGGAAGGCCACAATCTTGCAGTGCTGCTTTCACAGAATGTGCAGAAGTTATTTCATCATTTAAGTGTTGCACATACAAATCAAGGGGAATATCTGCAAGTCACAAGCCAAAGAAACACTTCAAAATTCATAAAAGCTAAGTAAGGGATTTTATGAGACGATTTAAACTGGCCTTAAAACTATCCATCATCTGTATGTTACCCAGCAGACAAAAATACACCAAAATAAGCCTTAATTAAAAGTCAAGCCTCGGCACCCTGTCGAAGAGAAACACAAGAGGCTTCATCCTAGGCTGGCAGAAAAGTAGTGCATTGTCCTAATGCTACAGCTACACACAGCCTCTCCCACAATACAACCTAACATTCTGTACAACTGCAAATCCAAAATGTTACATCTTGGCTCCACTGCAGAAAAAATAAAGGTATTTTAGTGTAAAGCATTTTGGTGGCCACACCCTGCCTTCCATCAGCTGCCATGTGGGATTAATTACTTACACTTCATTAGAAATATAACAGCAGGCATTAAGAGCACTGGGAGACTTGAAACAAAAAACAAAGCAGTTTTGGATTTAGGCAGAAACTGTATTTCAGGTGCAGTGTCTTTAACAGTGCTATTCTCTCCTACAAAAGGAAAGCAGCTTGTGACAGCAGTGAGCACAGACATCTCCAGACACATCTGTATTAGCTAAAGCAATCACCAAGAATTATTATCTCATTATTCCAATAATTTTTATCTGATCCTTTGATTCCAAGGGATCAAAAGATTTATGCTGATGTTCATTATTACAAAGAATAGTATTTTAAGATATCAAAATGTAACAAACTGATTATTATTACTATTTTTTTTAAGCTTAGAAAAACAATTATTTTTCTTGAAGCTCCCATTTCTATGCTGGTTTGTTTTCTTTGCCCATTAAAGAGTCTCTCTAGACAAAGTTATGCCCAGAGCTTACTCGAAGATGCTAGGAAAAAGTTACCTGCGATTTGCACTGAGCCATCTTCTCCAAGAAGAATGTTTCCCGCTTTCACATCCCTGCAGAAAGACAAAGCAACAGTGAGTGGAACTCATCAAAACTTCCCTTCAACCAATTAAAAGTTCGTTACTTCACATTCTGTTGCATCAGAACTTCTTGCTCCCAATCATGCAGAAACAACAGGGATTTAATACTGATCGTAACTTCAGTAGAAAGAGGTACATAGACTATAGCTAGCAGCATTTAAGTGCTATGGATACAAAGAAACTGAATCATTTAACTGAAAAATACCCCTCAGCCTCATGTCTTGCTGCATCCAGCCCTGGTTCACCTGGTTGCTTAAGAAACTGATTTACCTCAGTATACTGGTGGAAATGCAGTCAGAAGAGTGGTGTTTGCTGCTGGCTCAAGGAGCTGAGCCACAGTCTGCAGGGCAGGGGGAAGAGATCAGGCACAGCAGCAGGGTGACAGAAAGCAGAGCCACTCAGCTGTCCGGGCAACCCCTGCACTTATGCAGAACCTCCCTGAGTTTTGTTGCACACAAAGTCAAGGAACACTCAGCACATACTATGAAAGTTATCATACTACCCTTTTTTTTCTTTTTTTTTTTTTTTTCCCCCTCCATTTATTTCCATTCCATTCACAGCAGCATTTCTTGAACCTTTGACTCCAAACATGCTTGGAAGTTCTATAGCCTATTTCCCCCAGGCTGCTCTCCATGTCACACCAAAAGAAGTACCTGCACACTTGACAGCTGCACAGCTGTTAATCATGCTTTGGCTATAACAGCATGCAGACCCAAGCACCGTATCAAGAAGGGCTGCAAGCAAAGTGCCTGCATGGAGAATGGATGCAGCAATGAAGTAGCGTTGCATGGCGTACCTCATGTAATGGCAGCTATCTGCAGGGAAGAGAACAGAAGAACAGATTCTCCTCCCAGACACCTTCTGCAAATACCCAACATCCTTTCACAGAAAAAGCCAAAAGCTATTTTTCTCTCCTCCCTCATGAGTTGAGAGTGCAGAACTGACGCGATGGCCTGGCCAGAGCATCCTGCTTGGGCCCTAGAAATCTCCTTCCTGGCTTCTGAAGAGCCTGGGCTGCTGCCAAGATAATTCTGGACACATCTTCTCCAGTACTGCTATGTTCCTCCCAACACCCAATGTAAGGCATTGGCAAACACAGTAAGGCTCCCCCCCAGCTTCAAGTAGAACAGAAGTGAATGAAAACTGTAAGACAGGGACAGTAATGATGATTTTACCAGCAAAAAGCAGACAAAAATCTTTAAAGAAGCATTTCAAGTCCTGTCAAGCAAACAGCTCTTGCTGGCAGGAACCATCCCAGAGGCCTCATCCATGTCTGAAGCACAAGCGTAAGATCAAGCACAGGAAATGCTAACCTTGTTTTAATGATCAAGATGCAGATAGAGGTACATGGAAACACCACATTATATTCAGAATTAGCCTCAAGAAGCTCATCTAATATCAAAACGGGATTTCAAGCACTAAGACGATGCAACAGTGGTACTGGAATAACCACACAAACCAAACCGCTGCTGCCCAGCTCCAGCCCTGCTCATTTATTTCATACTGGCCAAACACGTGAGTGTGCTCTAAGGGGAAAGCCAGCTTTCCTGCCAAGGAGCATTGCTCTTCCTTTTCTAAGAGTTGCAGCCTTCATAGACGAGCATCAGCACTGCAGCCCTTAGGGACTGTTAAGTACATGGAAGTATCTGGAGGGATTAAATACAACATTAAACATGCAGCTACACCATCCCTCATAGCATCCATTGGCCAAATCCAATACAATCAGAGCTTTGGAGAGTTCATTTCCATTTAATTCAGAGTTACCAACCTGACTATCCTCTGTACTCCCAAAGCCACCAGAGAGTGTAACAGAAAATGGAAAAAATCTCTGCCAGTATTTACAGAAGATGCCTCTGGGACACATAGAAACACAGAACTGAGTTGGAAGGGACCTTTAAAGGACATCTGGTCCAACTCCCCTGCAATGAACAGGGACACCCACAGCTACATCAAGTGCTCAGAGCCCCATCCCCTGGCCTTGGGTGCCTCCAGGGATGGGGCACCCACCACCTCTCCGGGCAACCTGTGCCAGTGCTTTGCTAACCTTGTCATAGAAAACTTTTTCCTGCTGCAAGCCAGACAGGTCTGCAGGGTAAGGAGCAGTGAATTCAGATAGAATCCAATCAAAAGCAAAGCCAGGGCACTCTAGCCCCTTACCTCTCTCATGTGCAGAGGCTTGTTTTCTAACTTCAGATTAGGTCAATTAAAATTTACATATTTCCTCATTGGAAACAAAAGTCAGTAAATATGCTGCATTTAAGCTGATTCAAGAAATTAAAACAAGTTGTTGCTATGACAAGAAGTCTATCAGCCACTGCCAAACATCCAAGTCATACTGAAGAATGAAACCACAGCTTGATGTGGCTTTTCTTCCGGGTGACCAGCCTCTCTGAAGGCAGTTACTCACTCCAGAGTACCAAATCACAGTGCTGACAAGCACCATGGGGACACTGATTCAGCTTTGAGTCACTGAACCACTGGAATACCTCCCAGCTTTGCCATTCCTCATCCTAGTATGAGGGCAGCATGCTGCCTACAGCAGCAAGGAGCACAGTGGGCAGCATCACTGCTGGATCAACATGGATTCCCCATCTTTAGCTTTTCCTGGGGTTATAAGCACCATCTACAAATTCAGCACTTAAAAACTATCCTTAAGACTAATGACATTGAAGAGCAGTGAGGCAGGGGAAGGAGGAATGGTGGTTTCCTGTTTATTCTCTTTTTATATACTGATAGGCCCAACGAGGAGAATGGCAAGAAGTTTGTTACTCCAGGATATAGCTATTGCCAAGTATAACAATTTGAAGGTACTCCCTATTAACGTGTGATGTCCATATCCTGGGCTGATACAGTCAGAATAAGTGGCCTCTAGTGTAATTACAATATTGAAAACAGGAAGTAGCTTTGGGCTGTAGCATAAGCAGTAATTATATCACATTTCAAATGAAGTTACAGAAGGTTGGAGTAAAAGCTTTCTTGCCAGTGGCTTAACAAATGCCACCACTGCTCCGGGCATTTCTACCTCAATGCTCTGTCCTAAAGCTTCCAAGATCCTTTCTCCATTCTGTTTCCATTTACCTTGCATTTCACACCAGATGTGGAAGAGGGGTTTGAACTTCCTCCAGTGCAAATCTGCAGGGCAGAAATGCCTCATTTGCATCCTGAACTGGTTTAGCTTCTCAGGGCTACCCCGTGCTGTGGTACCAATTGCATCACATTCATGCCTTCAGGTTAGGGCTGGTCCACAGGCATTAGATGCCAGAGAAATAAAATTGATCCCTGATCCACCAAAATTAGAGTCAAGCATCCAGATATAGCAGGCTTGAGAGCACAGGAAGGTAAATGCAGTGTTTCCATGTACCCTTCTATTTCATTTTTCAACAGACAGGGAAAAGTGACACCATGAACTGTATCTTAATGGGATTGTTCTCATATGAAAAGCCTAATCAAGTCCTCAAAATCCTGTTTAGTGATCAGGTCTGCCTTCAGCCCTTTGCACTGTCACAGCATTGTCACTGCAGAGGCAACACTAAGGGTGTATCAAGACCTGCTGCTCCATCAGGGGGTGTGATATTACCAATTACCAGCTGTAGGGGTACAGTCCTGGCACAAGTAATAAAACTTAAAAGAACTGGCATTTGCAAAAAAATCAATGAAGCATATTAAGTCAATACTTTCTGAAGTATCAGTACTTTTCAAAGCCTCAAAATTGTTTGGAATTTGAAAAGAATTTGCTCAGCTTGCACTCAAAAGTCTACACCAAGAGCAACAACTAGGACATCAATTTATGGCCACTGAAATGGCAATGTCAGCAAAAGACCTGAGCAAAGACTTGTGCAGCTAGCATCTAGGGAAAAAGAAGAAAAGCCCTGTTCATTGTGCCTTCTCTTCTCATCATCTGCTTGTATGTGCCTTTAGGATGCAGCGTTGGCTGTCAGCACAGCCATGAGTCATCTGCCATTAGATGCAATTTACATCAGCTCTAACAACACACTTCCACGGACTGAACCCTACAGTGCATAATTCGGCATGATAAAAGAGGGGCTGGTCCTGCCAAGTTATATTTATTTATATTTTAAAGGTACAAGAATTACTATTTTCCGTTAATAGTCATGAACAACTCAATGTTGATTATGAATACTACCAATTGCTGTAGTCAACATTATTCTGAGCAATTTGCAAAACCTTTTCAGGACCATCTCTCTACTTACAGTTAAATGCAAATCAATTTGTAGCATTATGCACCAAATGAGGGCCATTCTCCACGATCAAGCATTATTCACTATTCGCTGTTACCTGTGTTCCCCTTTTCCCTTAAGAGCCAGGATATAAACAGTCAGTTACAGAAACAGCATTAGCATTTGAGACAGTGCTGCAAAATGGAAACTGGGCTCGGAGTGAGCGAGAGCACAGCAGTATTTTTGTGTCCCCAACACATGAGATGACATTTGAGAGCATGGTATCCAGAGTGCTGTAAGGCAGCACGCTCCCATTCTTGCTCAGAAAAGCCACGTGTATCCATTTTCATGCCAAAGGGGTGAGCCTTATGTACTGAACTTCTGAGTGAGACACAACTACTGACAGCCACAGTGCTGTACCCAACCCTGCAAAACTGGATTCGGAAGATATCTGACAGAGCTCTTCCAACAGCAGAGCAGCTTCCATGTTCCTCCCTTCAGCCTCCCCACTGATGCTCTATTTGTTCCTGCTTACCCACAGGCATCCCAGCAAGCTCTTGTGGCCACTGGCAAGTGGGGCACACACCAGCAGCCAGGCTGCTACAAAGCACAGCAGGGACCAGCTTGACAACGTGTGGTATTGCTTGGGACTGGGAAAGTGCAGTCGCTGCTCCTTTTCACTTCTCTGAACTGTAGGGGAAAAGCAGAGCCTAAAAACAGGAGCAAAACACTGGCTACACAGGGAAACTCATTATTTACTCTGAGTCCCATGCACATTAGCAGGATTTTTAAAGC